CGTGAATGTACGCCCCGCGTACTTTGTCGGTTTGGGCTTTGTGTTTTGGGCCTCAGATTGGACCATGCTTTGGACTTTGGGCCTTAGTGGGCCATCAGAAGTCAGATGATGTGGGCCAAGAAGATGTTTGGGCTTAGGGTAAGGCCCATTAGAGGGTTTGGTCCCGATTTAGCAACTTAGGCCATTAGTGGGCCACTAGTGGGTTTGGGAAGCCCATCTAGTTTTAGGCCTTTTTATATTATGCTTTTAAGCCTTAGATATGGACCAAGTTGGACTAGGGGTAAAATGGTCATTTTACCCTAAGGAGGATTATTGATTTGGCTAAGTGATATTTTGGTATTGATAACGGGGAGTCAAGGGATCAACAGTTCGGGGATCTGCTAACTAGCAGCGAGGGGTTATTCGCAGGATTCTACAGCCAGCTTTGTGAGGTGAGTTTTCTCAAGTAGGAATGGGTCTAAGGCACCAATGTCGGCCCGTTTATGTATGTTAGTGAATACCGGATTTAGATTCGATGTCGGGCAAGGCCTGATGAAGGTTTATATGTATGTTTCCGAGCTACGGTTCGATGTCGGGTGGTACCACTTCAGTACGCTCAGCGTATTGAGTCCTTGGCTGTACGCGTTGCGTACATTATACTACACCCAACGTACAAGCAGATTAAACACCACATCCATTAAGTGCCTAATACTTGATATTCTAACATCCAATATCATATTTGAGCTCATTAGGAAGTCCTAGGGCATAAAGTTGGCAACTTTATGCCCTTACATGCTATAAGGGACTTCAAAACTTCATTCTTCACACTAAGACTTCATATAAAGCTTCAAAATCATGCATGGAGTCTAGATAACCTTCAAGCTAGCACCTTTATACATCTAACATGCTCACAAAGCTCAGATCTAACCATCTTAGTCTCTGGATTTGCTCAACTCTCAAGAGAAGATCCAAGAACCAATAAAAGGGGTATACAAAACCCTAACTCAATCTAATGAATAAGATGGCAAGATTAAGACTTTATACCTCCAGAAGCTCCTCAAGGTGAACTAGATGTAGGTTCATGAAGCCCAATGTCACACCAAGCTTGGTCACTAACTTCTTCTTCTTGAATAAGCTCCAAAATGGCCACCAACACACTTCCATGCTCCAAAATCACACTCTCAAAGGAAAACTAAGGTAAAGGGACGAAGTGAGACTCTAGAGGCTAATTAGGTTTAATCCAAGTGGCTTAAGGATGAATAAATAGGTCTCAAGTCCGAATTTTAGGGTTTTGATCCTCTGTCGCGTATGCCCTGCGTACCTATATGTACGCCCCACGTACTCAATATCCCTTCACAATCCTTCCTCCATAGTATGCTAAGCGTACACTTAGGTACACCCAGCGTACAAAAAGGACCATTTTGCCAAATTAAATCATTTCAAGGGGTTAGAACGGTTTACCTTATTTGGAGTGTTACAAATATAGGAAGAGGCGATTACTTAAGTGACTAAATGTGTAAATTTGCCAAACTTTGTTGTGTTATAGTGCCAAAACCCCATATGGGTTTTACAAGCTACCTTAGCATGTCACCCGTAAATCGGATACAATTTCTCCCAAACCTTTAATTAGTCGATATTTCCTACCGTTAATGACCATTCGTTATACATTTAACAAACCAAGAATCACAATCTCCATTACAAACCATGAATCAGTGTTGGTATGCATACGATGATCACGAACAAAAATCAAAGGGGAGGGGGGAATAGAGACACCTGAGAGAGAATAAGAAGGCGATTGGTCGTGATCCTCCGTCCTCCCCACCACAAATCACCACAACCACGAAGGTCCAGACTAGTGTGCACGAATAACTCTCATGGCCACATAGACCACAAATCCCTTTGTATTTGGTATAATAGGCCTTATTTAATAAAAAGAAAAGAAAATGACATAAGAGCATCTCAAATGGGAGTTTTTTTATAGGTTATTACTATTGACTAAATTAATAATGAGCACTTATTCCTATCGGAGCAAATGACTTTTTTGCTTATTTTTATTGGTCACTCAATATATATTGAGGGGTAAATATAGTTTAACCATTTGTACATTTTATCCCCTCATCTTCTAATCATATTTTAATTTAACTCTTATTTTTATTTTAGCTTTCAATTTATTTATTTGTTTACTAGTTAATTAATTCTACCAAATATTTAGTGACATTTTACTTAAAAAATATAAACATAACGAAAATATTAATTAGAATAGTTTATATTAAGATATAATGTGTTTTTAAAAATGACTAACTAAATGGAGGGGGTTATATAGAAATTTTTAAAGAAAAAGCTATTTGAAAGGTTTAACCATTGGAGAGACCATTTATTTAGAGGTTAAAATTATTAGAATGGTGATGTGGCAATAACTTTAAGCTATAGATAGGTTAACCATTGGAGATATGTGACTTAGAGAGACGGGTGTGGGCAATGCCCTTAGGGCATTATCTGACGTGGCCGCGCTTATAACGGCGTCATAACGCGAAAACACCGCCTCAGCCTCCCGTTATGGGGCGTTACGCCAATATACGTTATCATGGTAACGGATGGTAACACCATTTTTTCGATCGTTGCATTTTCTTTTCCATTGAAAACGGCAATATTACCGTTTAAAAACGGTGAATCGTAAAAAAGAAATTACTACTTAATTTTTTTAAACTATATCAATACATATATACCTCATTTTACACTTCTATTTCTCTATATCTATCTTTATTTCTTTTATCATTCAAAACAAAAAAACCACTATGGTTCAAAACCTGAATACCCCTCCTCTGAACACAAACACATCCACTTCATTAGGTTTTGCGGGATACGAGGGATACATGAACCTTCTAAACTCCCAAAACTCACCACAAATTCCATATTCCGACAATTTTTTCAATCTCGCCTCACCCCCACTACAATTCTCTATCTCGCCATTTATGCAACAAAATGCAAACATTCAACAAAACTTTTTTTAACACATTCGGTCCCATGCACCAAACAATCACACAACCCACACCCACGCAAGAAATCGTTGTCGAGACGCAAACCGGGGGTAGTCAGAAAGCATTGGGAAAAAAGGGAGACCAAAAAACAAAGGGAAAGAGGTCGTTGTCAGGGCGAATCAAACGGAAGCACCTCCAACATGGTGGACACCGGAGGAAGAGCATGTGTTGGCGGTGGCTTGGTGTGGTACTTGAAAACAACCAACTATGGGGAACGATATGAAGAGAGTTGCTTTTTGGGATGTCGTAATTGTCAAATTCCGCGCAATTTTGAACAAAGGTGACACATATCGCAATAATGATAAACTTAGTGACAAATGGGCTCAAATTAGCCGGAAGTGCACAAAATTCAATTTCATATACAACAAACTTTCTTCGCAACGTCAAAGTGGTGCTAATGATTTCTGTGTTTAGAGCCGCGAGGGAGGAATATCACGTGCAAATGGGGCACGTATTTGAGTACGAAAAAGTATGGGAGATAGTGAGGAAAGATCCAAAATGGATGAAAATGTCAACATCATCAGAACAACAATCAAAGAGGTCTCGTGGTTCGGGTTCGGTTGACGTTTCTGACGGACACACGAACATCAACCTCAACGCGGACACCGATGAGATCCCGAATGAGTTTGACGGCATCGAGGAAATCTCTCCACCACGACGACCTATGGGGCGCGACAAAGCGAAGCGCGCTCAATGACATGCGGAGGAGAATAAAATTCAGTTTCAAGGGCACGAGGACATGAAAAAAAAATCGACGCCCACATGGAAATCGCAAATAAAATATATGAATTGCAATGGAAGCATATGGATTTCATTCGTCAAGAAGTCGAACAAGATCGTATATCGAAGGATTTGATAATTCTTGCGACAAACGAAGAAAATTTGCCACCGAGAAAAGCTGAAGCGATACGGAGGATGAAGGCAAAGATCAAGAGCACATATTTGGCAAAGAATAGTTTGTCAGTGTTTTTTTTTTAATTATTAGGACTATCGTGTGTTTTTTTTTTCAATGTTTTTTTTTGGTTTGTAATGTTTTTTTTTAATTTGTATGGTATTTTTAATTTACTATTTAATGAAATTATGTTTTATTAATTTATATGTTTTTTATAGATATATGACATAAATAAAAAAAATAAAACCAATTAAAAATATATATAATAAATAAAAAAATAAAACAAATTAGAATAATAGAAATTACAAAAATCCAAAAAAAATAAAAAATAACAAAAAATAGAAACTAATATGTGTTATTCCATATTATTTGGTGTTGTTCATTTTCACTTTTATATTATAATTTTGTATTATAAAACCAACTTTTATATTATAATTTTGTATTATAAGACCAAATTATAACTAAGATGATTATGGCAATAATTTAGATGAGAAATGTAATAACACGTTGGCACGACGCAATGGTTTTTTATGGTTATGGTTAGGTCATCTCCAATGGATTAAACTTATGAAGAGTTGTATGGATTGCGTAGGAAAGAGAATATATACATTCAATTTAATTATTAAAAAACTCATAAGTTTTCAATACAATTCTATTGCACCGTTTAATAACCATTGAACTTTACACTCTCTCTCCTCTATATTATAATCACATTTAATCTATATTGTATGAGAGTTTAATAAATTAAATGTGAATATAATATAGAGAAGAAAGAATGTAAAGTTCAATGATGTGCATTAGAATTGTATAGAAAACTTATGAGTTGTTTTATGAGTTGTTTTCATAATTTTGGGGTGCCTTTAAAATCCCCCGTTCCACAGCCATGGCGTCACTTTCCCACTACCCTACAACTGTATCCATCCATGATCGCACCCGCGCCACCGTCAGCCTCATTGATTTCCGGTGACAGCCGAAGTTGCCAACGCCGCCCTTAGACTATCTCCTCTTACCCTAACGGCGATGTAAACCACACGTGACACGACTGATATGAATCAGACGTCGAAGAAATTACCAAAACTGAGTATTGAAGCATGAGAAAGATCAAGCCTCAGTTACCCCCCTCTCCGCCGTCACTTGCCACCAACTCCACCAAGTCCTACAATGCTCTGATCAACCGTCACTCAACCGCCGGTTCTCACCGCGAAGTTCTCCTCCTCTACATCTCCATGCTCAAAACCAACATTATGCCGGACCCCTACACATACCCAAGTATGCTCAAAGCTTGTACTTCTCTAAACCTCTTCTCGCACGGTCTTTCTTTCCACCAACATTCCATCGTCAATGGGTACTCCTCTGATGCCTACATTGCTGCTTCCTTGATTAACTTTTACGCCAAAATTGGGTATACCGATGTTGCCAGCAAAGTGTTTGATAATATGCCTGAGAGAAATGTTGTTCCCTGGACTGCAATTATCGGGTGTTATGCTCGATCAGGGAAGGTAAATACCACGTTTCAAATGTATAAGCAGATGCAGTGTGAAGGAATTAAGCCAAGTTCAGTCACCATACTAGCCATGCTTTCAGGCGTTTCAGAATATACCCACGTCCAGTCTCTTCATGCTTCTGCAATCCAATACGGGTTTGATTGTGATTTATCTTTAGCCAATTGCTTCCTAAGTTTATATGGGAAATATGGAAGTGTCACTGATGCTAAGAACTTGTTTGAATCAATGGCTAATCGAGACATTGTCTCGTGGAATTCTTTAGTTTCTGCTTATGCTTTGATCGATGATGTTAGGGAAATCTCACAACTTTTGTCTAGAATGCTTGTTAGTGGATTGAACCCTGATCAACAGACGTTTGGGTCGTTAGTTTCTGCTGCTACAAGACAAGGTAACCTCAGAATCGGGAAACTGGTGCACGGGAAAATAGTCATCAGTGGTTTTGAAATGGATTTCCAAGTTAAAACGTTACTTATAACCATGTACCTTAAGTTTAGAGACCTAACAAACGCATACCAAATATTCGAATCAACTCCAAATAAAGACATGATTTTATGGACTTCAATGATCTCTGGGCTTTTATGGAATGCATGTCCAGATAAGTCATTGGAACTGTTCCATAAGATGTTAATTGCACAGGTAATGCCATCCACCACAACCATATCTTGTGCTCTTGCAGCTTGTGCCCAAATGGGTTCTTTACTTCTAGGAACCTCAATTCATGGGTATATATTAAGGAAAAAGATTCTTCTAGACATCCCTACTCAAAATTCTCTCATTACAATGTACGCAAAATGTGGTCGACTAAATCAAAGTTGTACCCTTTTCGAAACAATGAACCATAAAGATGTTGTCACATGGAATGCCATGGTTGCAGGGTATGCACAAAATGGTGAATTATCCAACGCGTTGTATATTTTTAACAAAATGCGAGAATCTTTCGAGAGGCCCGATGAGGTGACAGTTGTATCTCTTCTCCAAGCTTGTGCCTCCATTGGAGCTTATCATCAAGGAAGATGGATACACAATTTTGTGGTTAGAAATTGTCTTGGTGGGTCCCGGTCCCTCTTAATCGACACAGCTTTGGTTGATATGTATTTCAAATGTGGAAACATGAAGAATGCTAGAGAGTGTTTCGATAGAATGTCACAACATGATGTGGTGTCATGGAGCATAGTGATTGGTGGGTATGGTAGTCATGGTGAAGGGGAGAAGGCTTTGAAAATGTTCTCAGAGTTTTTGGAAACCGGGATTCAACCAAATCATGTTACTTTTTTATCGGTTCTTTGTGCTTGTAGTCACAATGGGCTTGTGAAGGAAGGTGTTAGGCTCTTCGAGACCATGACAAATCGTTTCAAGATCGAGCCAAAACTTGAACATTGTGCTTGTGTTGTTGATCTTTTGTGTCGAGCTGGTAGGGTAGAAGATGCGTATGATTTCTACAAGAAGATGTTTAAAGAGCCGGTTGTTGATGTTTTAGGGATTCTTCTTGATGGGTGTAGGATTAAAGGTAATAAGGTGCTTGGAGATGTTATTGCATGTGATATAAGAAGTTTAAAACCTGAAGATCCTGGGAATTTGGTGCAGTTGGTTCATAATTATGCTTCGAGTGGTGGATGGGATGGTGTGGGTGAAGCATGGATTCAGATGAGGGGTCTTGGATTGAAAAAGATTCCTGGTTGGAGTTTTGTCGAGTTAAATGGGAACATTACGACTTTTTACAAGGATCATACTTCACATCCTGAATATCATGATATAGTAATGTGTTTGAAAGCCATGGCCATGCATATTAAACCACGAAAATCAGCCACAGATTCAGATTGTTTGGAATATAACAATACTTTTTAACGCAATGGTGCTTTTCAACATCTCTGTTTGTTACCTCTTTATGACATTAACCTTGAAAGAATCCTCTGATTTTGGCATCAATTTGGCGAGCACCATCATGTCACACAAAACACCATTGACATCTAGAAATAATATTTTGAGAAAAAGTATCTGTTTTACGTTGCGTTACATGTACAAAGCTAATTTTATGAAAGGAGAGACGACCGAAAAGCTTCATTCACACGGTATCTCACACGGT